GATCAAAGAAGATTTTAAATAACAAACCAACACTCCTTTCCAATAACGCTGGTCAGCTTTCAGCCTCTGATTCTGCTATTGAGTTCAATAGGTTCTTCTCTTCCATTGGGTCATCCCTTGCAAATGATATTCCATCTTCCTGTACTGATGTTAAGGACTATCTTACAGGTAACTATCCACAGTCTCTGTACCTAAAGCCTACTAGTTCCACTGATGTCAATGAAATAATCCTTTCCCTTAAAACCAAGTCTAGTGCCCTCGAGGAGATACCAACTTTAATTTACAAAAAAGCCTCCCGATCTCTAGCCCCTGCTATTGCATTGCTCTTCAACAAGTCACTTGAACTCCAAACCTTTCCTGACATTCTAAAAAAAAACAAGAGTAACCCCTGTCCACAAATGTGGTGATCTCACAGATGTTAACAACTACAGACCTATATCAATCCTGCCTAACTTATCAAAAACATTCGAAAAGCTAATCTACAAGCAGCTTTACTCTTTTCTAGCCAAACACAATATACTTAGCTCTTGTCAATATGGCTTCAGACCCAAAAAAAGCACTAACGATGCACTTATTAGTATGATTAACTTAATTCACGCAGCTCTTGATAAAAAGGAGTTTCCTGTTGGGTTATTTGTGGACCTGCGTAAGGCTTTTGACACTGTCAACCATCAAAACCTTCTTCTTAAATTACATCATTATGGAGTCAGAGGACACTCCCTGCAATACCTCAAATCTTATCTTACTGACAGGCTCCAGTATGTTTCTGTGAATAATACAATTTCTCCCACCCTACCCATCAACATTGGTGTTCCTCAGGGCAGCATTCTTGGCCCTCTCCTCTTTCTCATCTACATTAATGACCTTCCAAATGCCTCCCAACATCTCAAACCAATTCTATTTGCTGACGACACAACCTTCATTTACTCCAGTCCTGACCCCCTTGCTCTAAATGCCACAGTAAATACTGAGCTAGAGAAAGTCCATCTTTGGCTAACTGCCAACAAACTCACCCTTAACATTGACAAAACGTTTTATATTCTGTTTGGCAATAAATCCTCTAATCAGATAAATCTCAAAATAAACAATACCCAAATTTGTAACAAATTAGATGGCGTTCTCTTCCATTGGGTCATCCCTTGCAAATAATATTCCATCTTCCAGTACTAATATTCAGGGCTATCTTACAGGAAACTATACTCTGTAAGATAGGTCTGTAAGATAGGTTATACCCTGTATTAGGTCTCTGTACCTAATGCCTACTAATTCCACTGATGTTACTAACATAATCCTTTCCCTTAAAACCAAGTCTAGTGCCCTTGAGGAGATACCAACTCTTATTTACAAAAAAGCCTCCGGATTTTTAGCTCCTGCTATTGCATTGCTCTTCAACAAGTCACTTGAACTCTAAACATTTCCAGATATTATAAAAAAAGCGAGAGTAACCCCTGTCCACAAATGTGGTGATCCCATTGATGTCAACAACTTCAGACCTATATCAATTCTGTCAAACTTGTCAAAAATATTTGAAAACTAATCTACAAGCATCTTTACTCTTATCTAGCCAAACTCAATATACTTAGCTCTTGTCAATATGGCTTCAGACCCCAAAAAAGCACTAACGATGCACTTATTAGTATGATTAACTTAATACATGCAGCCCTTGATAAAAATGAGTTCCCTGTTGGGTTGTTTGTGGACCTGCGTAAGGCTTTTGACACTGTCACCCACCAAATCCTTCTTCTTAAATTACATCATTATGGAGTCAGAGGTCACTCCCTGCAATACCTTAAGCCTTACCTTACTGACAGGCTCCAGTATGTTTCTGTGAATAATTCAATTTCTCCCACCCTACCCATCAACATTGGTGTTCCCCAGGGCAGCATACTTGGCCCTCTCCTCTTTCTCATCTCCATTAATGACATTCCAAATGCCTCCCAACATCTCAAACCAATTCTATTTGCTGACGACAGGACCTTCATTTCCTCCAGTCCTGACCCCCCTTGCTCTAAATGTCACAGTGAATACTGAGCTAAATAAAGTCCATCACTGGCTAACTGCCATAAACTCACCCTCAATATTGACAAAACTTTCTATATTTTGTTTGTCAATAAATCCTCAAATCAAATAAATCTCAGGATAAACAATACCCAAATTTGTAACAAAGTAGATGGCAAATTCCTTGGCGTTCTCATTGATAACAAGCTGAATTTCCAGGGACACATTCTAAATATATATAAAAGAGTTTCAAAAACTGTTGGCATTCTTTCTAAGATCAGATATTATTCTATTACTCCCTCATCTATCCTTATCTCAACTATGGTATTTGTGCTTGGGGTTCTACTACCCAAAATCATTTACGTCCTCTAATTACTCAACACAAAGCTACTATTAGGACAATATCCAACTCTGGCCCCAGACAACACTCGGTACCTTTAATCAAATCTCTGAATATGTTAGATATTAAGTCACTGCACATCCTCTCAATGTGTAGTTTATATATATAAAACGCTGAACTGTAATGTCAATCCTGACCTTAAAAGCTTCCTAGAAGGTTGTAACAGAACCCATGAGCACCACACCAGAAACAAATACCTATTTGATATTCCAAGAGTACGACTTAATCAAACTAGAAATGCTCTACAAATCAAGGGACCTCGAATGTGGAATGACCTTCCCAATCATGTTAAAGACTGTACCTCTCTTAACCAGTTTAAGATAAAAACTAAGCACTACCTAATTAACTCCATGTAACATATCTTACCCCTATAATGTCAACCCATGTCTGCTATTTTAAACAATGCTGTTTGTCTACCAAATTGTATATTTGCCATTTTTCTGCTATGTTCCCCCCTTTTTTAATTTTATGTTATCGCTACACAATTTATACTTTTGTTATTTATCACCCCTTGTATGTATGTACTTTACCTGAATAAACATTTTTAATTTGAATTTGACATGACTTTTGGTGACTTCCTCTTCCAGCTGAACCCTGATGCAAGAGCATTAGTAAGAGGGATAGAAGCCCTAAATCAGAAAATAGTAAATACGGAATATGCTGTCATATTCAATGAGACATGCATATTCTCTCTCTCTCTCTGTTTCTGTCTGTCTCTGTCTCTCTCTCTGTCTCTCTCTCTCTCTCTCTCTCTCTCTCTCTCTCTCTCTCTCTCTGTCTCTCTCTCTCTCTCTCTCTCTCTCTCTCTCTCTCTCTCTCTCTCTCTCTCTCTCTCTCTCTCTCTCTCTCTCTCTCTCTCTCTCTCTCTCTCTCTCTCTCTCTCTCTCTCTCTCTCTCTCTCTCTCTCTCTCTCTCTCTCTCTCTCTCTCTCTCTCTCTCTCTCTCTCTCTCTCTCTCTCTCTCTCTCTCTCTCTCTATATATATATATATATATATATATATATATATATATATATATATATATATATATATATATATATATATATATATATAGAGGAACACAAATGCGAACAAGCCTGAATGGTCCCCAGGACAATATGCAACTGAAAACTCACACCCCAGAAGTGACTCGAACCCATACTCCCAGAAGCAACGCAACTGGTATGTACAAGACGCCTTAATCCACTTGACCATCACGACCGGACATAATGAGGTGATAGCCGAGGCTATTTGAACCACCCCACCGCCGGCACTCGGATAGTAATCTTGGGCATAGCATTTTACCAAATCACCTCATTCTTTGGGGCACACGTATGCGGGTTCGAGTCACTTCCCAGGGACTCGAACCCATACTGTGACTGGTTTTCAGTTGCATCCCCTTGTCACGACCGGACATAATGGGGAGCCGAGGCATTCAGGCTTGTTCGCATTTGTTTTCCAAATCACCTCGTGTGCACCCCAAAGAATGAGGTGATTTGGTAAAATGCTATGCCCCAGGATTACTGGTAAATCCTATGCCCGGCGGTGGGGTGGTTCAAATAGCCTCGGCTATCACCTCATTATGTCCGGTCGTGATGGTCAAGTGGATTAAGGCGTCTTGTACATACCAGTTGCGTTGCTTCTGGGAGTATGGGTTCGAGTCACTTCTGGGGTGTGAGTTTTCAGTTGCATATTGTCCTGGGGACCATTCAGGCTTGTTCGCATTTGTGTTCCTCACGTGTGCCCCAAAGAATGAGGTGATTTGGTAAATGCTATGCCCAAGATTACTATCCGAGTGCCGGCGGTGGGGTGGTTCAAATAGCCTCGGCTATCACCTCATTATGTCCGGTCATGATGGTCAAGTGGATTAAGGCGTCTTGTACATACCAGTTGCGTTGCTTCTGGGAGTATGGTTCGAGTCACTTCTGGGGTGTGAGTTTTCAGTTGCATATTGTCCTGGGGACCATTCAGGCTTGTTCGCATTTGTGTTAATCACGTGTGCCCCAAAGAATGAGGTGATTTGGTAAAATGCTATGCCCAAGATTACTATCCGAGTGCCGGCGGTGGGGTGGTTCAAATAGCCTCGGCTATCACCTCATTATGTCCGGTCGTGATGGTCAAGTGGATTAAGGCGTCTTGTACATACCAGTTGCGTTGCTCCTGGGAGTATGGGTTCGAGTCACTTCTGGGTGTGAGTTTTCTTTCTGTCTCCCTCTCTCTCTCTCTCTTGTTTGTCTGTCTCTGTCTCTTGTCTGTCTCTCTCTCTCTCTCCTCTCTCTCTCTCTCTCTCTCTCTCTCTCCTCTCTTCTCTCTCTCTCTCTCTCTCTCTCTCTCTCTCTCTCTCTCACTCTCTCAGTCTCTCTCTCTCCTCTCGTACTCTTCATACTCTACTGCATATTCTCTCTCTCTCTCTCTTCTCTTCTTCTCTTCTCTCTCTGTCATTCTTCTCTCTCTATTAATTATATATATGTAACATATATATATATAGATATATGATATATATATATATATATTCTGTTATTATTAATACTTCAGTGTATTATGTTACGGGACTCTGTATTTATGCGTAGATCTATTAATTTAATTAAACGTTGCTGATCAAGTGGGTTGTTTGTGTTGGCAGATGGGTGGCCGACGGGTGTTTCTGGCTGTCAACCTGTTGATCGTGGTGGTGAATGTTGGCTTGGGGATCCTGATGAACCTGGCAGTCTTCACAAGAGGCTCCCTTAGGAACCATTACTGGCTCACTCTCGCTACTGACCAGACCAACGTCTCTCTGGTATGTAATAATAATAATAATAATATTTTATTCAGGAGAAGCACATACATAGATGCAGAGTTACAAATATACTGTTGGATTTATAGATAGAGCTATAGTATAATGCAAAGCATAATAGTGTAGCTTAATATGGGATATTATGCTATTTTGATATTCTGTGAGATGCTTTTGTGGACCGTCTTCTGTTGGATGTTGCTTGTCTGTGAGTGAGTGTGCTTGTCTGTGGGAGTGAGGTGTTGCTTGTCTGTGGGGAGTGAGGTGTTGCTTGTCTGTGGAGATGAGGTGTTGCTTGTCTGTGGAGTGAGGTGTTGCTTGTCTGTGGGAGTGAGGTGTTGCTGTCTGTGGGAGTGAGGTGTTGCTTGTCTGTGGGGAGTGAGGTGTTGCTTGTCTGTGGGGAGTAGGTGTTGCTTGTCTGTGGGGAGTGTAGGTGGTGCTTGTCTGTGGGGAGTGAGGTGTGCTTGTCTGTGGGGGTGAGTGTTGCTTGTCTGTGGAGTAGTTCTGTCTTTGTGAGTGAGGTGTGCTTGCTGTGGGATGAGGTGTTGCTTGTCTGTGGGAGTCGGTTTGCTTGTCTGTGGGGAGTGAGGTTTGCTTGTCTGTGTGGAGTGTAGGTGTTGCTTGTACTGTGTGGAGTAGGTTATGCTTGTCTTCGGGATAGTGCTTGCTGTGGGAGTGAGGTGTTGCTTGTCTGTGGGGAGTGAGTGTTGCTTGTCTGTGGGGAGTGAGGTGTTGCTTGTCTGTGGGGAGTGAGGTGTTGCTTGTCTGTGTGGAGTGAGGTGTTGCTTGTCTGTGGGGAGTGAGGTGTTGCTTGTCTGTGGGGAGTGAGGTGTTGCTTGTCTGTGTGGAGTGAGGTGTTGCTTGTCTGTGGGGAGTGAGGTTTGCTTGTCTGTGGGAGTGAGGTGTTGCTTGTCTGTGGGGAGTGAGGTGTCGCTTGTTGTGGGAGTGAGGTGTTGCTTGTCTGTGGGGAGTGAGGTGTTGCTTGTCTGTGGGGAGTGAGGTGTTTGCTTGTCTGTGGGGAGTGAGGTGTTGCTTGTCTGTGGGGAGTGAGGTGTTGCTTGTCTGTGGGAGTGAGGTGTGCTTGTCTGTGGGGAGTGAGGTGTTGCTTGTCTGTGGGGAGTGGGTGTTGCTTGTCTGTGGGGAGTGAGGTGTTGCTTGTCTGTGGGGAGTGAGGTGTTGCTTGTCTGTGGGGAGTGAGGTGTTGCTTGTCTGTGGGGAGTGAGGTGTTGCTTGTCTGTGGGGAGTGAGGTGTTGCTTGTCTGTGGGGAGTGAGGTGTTGCTTGTCTGTGGGGAGTGAGGTGTTGCTTGTCTGTGGGGAGTGAGGTGTTGCTTGTCTGTGTGGTGGAGTGAGGTGTTGCTTGTCTGTGTGGAGTGAGGTGTTGCTTGTCTGTGGGGAGTGAGGTGTTGCTTGTCTGTGGGGAGTGAGGTGTTGCTTGTCTGTGGGGAGTGAGGTGTTGCTTGTCTGTGGGGAGTGAGGTGTTGCTTGTCTGTGGGGAGTGAGGTGTTGCTTGTCTGTGGGGAGTGAGGTGTTGCTTGTCTGTGGGGAGTGAGGTGGTGCTTGTCTGTGGGGAGTGAGGTGTTGCTTGTCTGTGGGGAGTGAGGTGTTTTGCTTGGTGTGTGTTTGTGGGAGTGAGGTGGTGCTTGTCTGTGGGGAGTGAGGTGTTGCTTGTCTGTGGGGAGTGAGGTGTTGCTTGTCTGTGGGGAGTGAGGTGTTGCTTGTCTGTGGGGAGTGAGGTGTTGCTTGTCTGTGGGGAGTGAGGTGTTGCTTGTCTGTGGGGAGTGAGGTGTTGCTTGTCTGTGAAGGAAGTGGCTGAAGATCACAACTACAAACATAAGGGGTTCGAGACCCATACAGACGAGGTGAACGTAATAACGTTGCTTGTGTTGTGGTAACTTGTCGTCGTCAAGATGGCTGGTGGTGTTTGGCGTTCGATGAAGTTGGATGGTTGTGCCCGCGAGGCATTTTTTCATCACTAAACAAATTCACTCTACACACCTTCCGTACAAGGTACAATGCAGGGAAGAGTAGCCTGTGTAACATAAGATCCTCTGCTGTAATGATTCATTTGATTGTTATTGCTAGCGGCAGCAGAAGGGCAAAAGGATTACAGAGGAAACATATGAGGTCTTAATCATACTTCAATAGATGTTCGATATTCTAGATTTTATATTTAATTATAATAATAGCCAATGACAGAATATCTTGCATTATTGTAAAGTGTGAGAGTAAGAGAAAGAATAAGTGGTATATTTTACGCTGGCAGCCATGTTTACAACAGTTTCTCTGTGGCACAGTCGACGTCGCCGCTGGGTGCCGGCGGGGTGCTGCCTGCGGGGTTCGGAGTGCTGGACGCCACAGGGAACTACACCACCCACGCCTTTGTCTGGCCGGCGCAGGAGTGGGACACGGTCACTGCAGAGTCTCGCGTCTGTCTCGCCACTCAAACCTCCGTCGAGCGGCTCTTCTGGGTGGCGTGGCAAGCCGAGGCCTGGTCGGGACCCATGTCCGTGTCTATCTTCGTCCCGGGTTCTGAGTATGCCGTGGCGGCCGCCATGGTGTCCTACCTGAGACGCTGTTTTCCCAACGTACAAGAAAAGGTGTCCTTCCACTTAGTGCATCCGAGGACGCGGCCACCCCGTCCATCCCCTAATCCTGAGTTGATTCATCTTAGCTGCGACTATCCTCAGGAGTCGAACATCCTACTGATGCGTCTGAGGGACGAGGGAGAGCAGAAGGAACGCCGCTACCCGCAGAACCTAATGAGGAACCTTGCCAGAAGGACGTGTCCCTGCGAGTATTCCCTCACCATCGACGTTGACATGTTGACGCCGCCCTTCATGTCAGAGAACCTCACCGGCTTCCTCCCCGGCGGGATGGACGGAGCACCGTGCTGGAAGTGCGCCTACGTGGTCCCTGTGTACGAGCTGGACACCTCCGTCACTTACCCTCCAGACGATAAGACTGAGCTCCTCAGACTCCTGCTAAAGGGCCTGGCTCAGCGCTTCCATATCAAGGTGGGCTACCCTCCTCCAACTTTCCTAGACGGTTCTTGGGTGGTATGAGTGTCACTAGGTCTGGAATTTGGGATTTTGGATTCAATGGAGTTATTTGTTCTTTCAGCAGCTTAATTTTCACCTGATTGTAATATTGCTTTTGAGAGAGAGAGAGAGAGAGAGAGAGAGAGGAGAGAGAGGGAGAAGAGAGGAGGGAGAGCGAGAGGGAGAGAGGGAGAGAGAGGAGAGGAGAGGAGGAGGAGAGAGGGAGAGAGGAGAGAGAGGACGGGGAGAGAGGGAGAGGGAGAGGGAGAGGAGAGGAGAGCGAGAGTAAAGAAGGGAGAGGAGAGGGAGAGAGAGAGAGAGAGAGAGAGATAAGAGAGAGAGAGAGAGATAAAGAGAGGATAAAGAGAGAGAGAGAGGAGATAAAGAGAGATAGAGAGAGAGAGAGAGAGATAAAGAGAGAGAGGAGAGAGGAGAGAGAAGGAGAGAGAGGAGAGAGGGAGAGAGAGAGAGAGAGAGGGAGAGACGAGAGGGAGAGAGGGAGAGAGAGAGAGAGAGAGAAGAGAGAGCTAAAGAAGAGAGAGATAAGAGAGAGAGGAGAGAGAGGAGAGAGAGAGAGAGAGAGAGAGAGAGAGAGAGAGAGAGGAGGAGAGAGGGGGGGAGAGATGGAGGGAGGAGAAGTGAGAGAGAGAGAGAAGGAGCTTGCCTGAGGGGGAGAGAGAGAGAGGGGGAGAGAGCGAGATTGATAGATGATGGGGAGAGTGAGAGGAGAGAGGGGAGAGAGAGAGAGAGAGGAGAAGAGGGAGAGGTGTCACGGAGGAGCGGGAAGAGGTTGAGAGAGAGAGGGAGATTGAGATGGAGTGGGAGGGCAGAGAGGGAGAGAGAGTGGAGGAGAGAGAGAGGAAGGAGACGAGCGACGAGGAGGAGAGAAAGAGAGAGAGAGAGAGAGAGAGAGAGAGAGAGAGAAGAGAGAGAGAGAGAGAGAGAGAGAGGAGAGAGAGAGAGAGAGAGATAGGGAGGAGGTGAGAGGGGAGGAGAGAGAGAGAGAGAGCGAGGATGAGAGAGACTAGAGAGGCGGGAGAGGGTGGAGGAGAGAGGAGAGGTGGGGACGAGAGGGAGAGAGAGAGAGAGAGAGAGAGAGGGGGAGAGAGAGAGAGAAGGAGAGGAGAGGGAGAGGGAGAGAGAGAGAGAAGGAGAGGAGAGAGAGATGAGAGGCAGAGAGAGAGGAGGAGAGAGAGAGAGAGAGAGGAGATAGAGAGAGAGAGAGAGAGAGAGAGAGTAGAGAGAGAGAGAGAGAGAGAGAGAGAGAGAGAGAGAGAGAGAGAAAGAGAGGAGAGAAAGAGAGGAGAGAGAAGAGAGAGAGATAAAGAGAGAGAGAGAGAAGAGAGAGAGAGAGATAAAGAGAGAGAGAGGAGAGAGAGAGAGAGGAGGAGAGAGAGAGAGGAGAGGAGAGAGAGAGAGAGAGAGAGAGAGAGAGAGAGAGAGAGAGAAGAGAGAGAGAGAGAGAGAGAGAGAGAGAGAGAGAGAGAGAGAGAGAGAGAGAGAGAGAGAGAGAGAGAGAGAGAGAGAGAGAGAGAGAGAGAGAGAGAGAGAGAGAGAGAGAGAGAGAGAGAGAGAGAGAGAGAGAGAGAGAGAGAGAGAGAGAGAGAGAGAGAGGGGGGGGAGAAGGATGAAGAGAGGTGTTGAATGAGAGAGGAGGAGGGATCAAGGGAGTGGAGAAGGGCTAATGAGGGAAGAGAGAGAGGGGGAAGGTGTAGAGGCGGGGGGAAGAGAAAAGGGGAGATTGGAAGAGAGACTCAGGCACAGCCGGGTACCGTATCAATTAACTTTATTTATTTATACATAGAAGAGTTCTTACATTCTTGTACAGCCACTAGTCCTATGTTCTAATCCTATGTTCCCCGGAATACGACCGACGTACCTGTACCCGCCAAAAAACAACCAGGTACATATTTTACTGTTCGGTAAAAAGAGGCTACAATTAAGGATTAATAATAATAATAATAATAATAATATTTTATTTAGGAAAAGTACATACATAGATGCAGAGTTACAAACATTCTGATTGATTGATAGATATAGGTAGTACATACAATACCTAAAGCCACTAGTACGCATAGCGTTTCGGGCAATTGACACCCAGTAAATCCTCCCCGGCCAGGATTCGAACCCAGAACAAAGTGCTCTCGAAACGCTAGGCGAGTGTCTTCCCACTATGCCACAGGGACTATTATATCTAGTATAAGACGTAGGGGGGGGGGGGTAGACCACTGTGGGTGTGGACGGGAGGAAGGAGTGGCCTGGCGTCCCCCTCCCACCTGTGAACTTGTACTCACCTAATTGTACTCACCTAATTGTGCTTGCGGGGGTTGAGCTCTGGCTCTTTGGTCCCGCCTCTCAGCCGTCAATCAACTGATGCACAGATTCCTGAGCCTATTGGTCTCTGTCATATCTACATTTGAAACTGTGTATGGAGTCAGCCTGCACCACATCACTGCCTAATGCATTACATTTACTAACTACTCTGACACTGAAAAAGTTCTTTCTAACGTCTCAGTGGCTCATCTGGGTACTCAGCTTCCACCTGTGTCCCTTTGTGTGTGTGCCACCCGTGTTAAATAATCCATCTTTGTCCACCCTGTCAATTCTCCTGAGAATTTTGTATGTGGTGATCATGTCTCCCCTAGCTCTTCTGTCTTCCAGCGACGTGAGGTGCAGTTCACGTAGTCTGTTCTCATAACTCATGCCACTTAGTTCTGGGACTAGCCTAGTGGCATACCTCTGAACTTTTTCCAGCTTCGTCTTGTGCTTGACTAGATACGGGCTCCATGCTCGGGCTGCATACTCCAGAATTGGCCTTACATATGTGGTATGCAAGGTTCTGAAGGAGTCCTTACACAGGTTTCTGAAAGCAGTTCTGATGTTAGCCAGCCTCGCATAGGCCGCTGATGTTATTCTTTTGATGTGAGCTTCAGTAGACTGGTTTGGCGTGATATCAACTCCCAGATCTTTCTCTCTGTCCATTTCGTGAAGGACTTCATCTCCCATTCGGTATCCAGTGACTGGCCTTCTAGTTTCTCCTCCTAGTTTCATTACCTTACATTTACTTGGGTTGAATTTTAGTAGCCATTTGTCGGACCATTCCTTCAGTTTGTCTAGGTCATCTTGTAGCCTCATACTATCCTCCTCTGTCCTGATCCTCCTCATAATTTTTGCGTCATCAGCAAACATCGAGAGGAACGAGTCAATTCCTTCTGGGAGATCATTTACGTATATCAGAAACAGTATAGTTCCAAGGACTGATCCCTGTGGGACTCCACTGGTGACTCCCCGCCACTCCTAGACCTCACCCCTCACGGTGACTCGCTGTGTCCTGTTGCTTAAGTACTCCCTTATCCAGTGGAGTACCTTCCCTTTCACTCCTGCCTGTATCTCCAGTTTGTGCACTAGTCTCTTAGGGGCCATGGGATCCGAAAATCCGAAGAAAAATGGAATATTTACGAAAAATTACGAAAAATACTACAACGTTCTGGCAACATTGGGGTGCAAACCGTTTTATGTTATCTTGATAAATAACGTAATTAGAGTCAAATTTCCCGCTGCAACTTTGCCAAATCCGGTCCTCGCGGCCTGGGTGCGCCGCGGAGTATTGTGTTTTACGTTGTAGAAGTCTAATATTTCGTAATAGCGTTGAAAATAACATGTTATGCATAAAACGAATATAAACTCACTCATTGGCAACAGTCTCGTGTGAGGCAGAGGGTGGGCTGTGGCTTAGCAGTCAGTCACTCTTTGTGTCCCTCAGCTAGTGGATCTATCGTTGACGCACTCTCACGATATCTCCCAGAACGCTCGCTATTTGTGCTATTTGGACTGCAATATGACTTACCTAACGAACAAGAAGAAGGCATTGAAAGCTAGATGCATGCGAGCTGTCCGTAGAAGGTACGAGCTGGCCGCAATGCGTAGATCACGCATTTTGACGAGTGAGGATCGTGGTGGCCTCTCAGCCGAGAGTGTGAGGGGCCTGTCGCAGCCCGCAACCCTTGGACCTGCTACTCCAGATGTTGGACCTGCTACTCGTGATGTTGGACCTGCTACTCGTGATGTTGGACCTGCTAGATGTTGGACCTGCTACTTGCTACTCGTGACCGTGATGTTGGACCTGCTACTCGTGATGTTGGACCTGCTACTCGTGATGTTGGACCTGCTACTGTTGGACCTGCTACTCGTGATGTTGGACCTGCTACTCGTGATGTTGGACCTGATGTTGGACCTGCTACTCGTGATGTTGGACCTGCTACTCGTGATGTTGGACCTGCTACTCGTGATGTTGGACCTGCTACTGATGTTGGACCTGCTACTCGTGATGTTGGACCTGCTACTCGTGATGTTGGACCTGCTACTCGTGATGTTGGACCTGCTACTCCTGATGTTGGACCTGCTACTCGTGATGTTGGACCTGCTACTCCTGATGTTGGACCTGCTACTCCTGATGTTGGACCTGCTACTCCTGATGTTGGACCTGCTACTCCTGATGTTGGACCTGCTACTCGTGATGTTGGACCTGCTACTCCTGATGTTGGACCTGCTACTCCTGATGTTGGACCTGCTACTCCAGACGTTCTCGCTCTTGATGTTGCAGGGCCCAGCACCTCACGTGCTGATCTGGCAACTCCAAACATTTCCAGAAAGCGTAAACGTATCCAGAGCAGTGCCAAGAAACGAATCGGTTTATTTAGAGAAGAAGCAATTGGAAGTGACAAGGACACTGACCAGGAAACCGACAGTGACAGTGAAGTGACATATAGAATAAATCCACGCGAGTCTGCGCTAATGGTCACGGATAAGAAACTGAAACAATACCTTGATAAACATTGCATATGCCAATACTGTTCAAAGGGTAAAGTTTGTCACACAATTACGATTTTGCAACATGATGTAACAGTGAAAAGAACCTGTAATCGTTGTCATTTTACAGACGATGAAGCATTGTCTGGAAATAATGAAAATCTGAT